GAGTCCACTGACATGTAGAAGTGGGAATAAGTGCACAGATGACCTCTGTGGGAGATGAGGTCTGGGCTGAAACTTAACATGAGTCTCAATGTGATATAGAATATTTTATTGGAATGGTGGTCTTAGCCTCTGTTTCTCTAGAGGTGGGAGACAGGGGAGGGATTACATGAGGATTACCTGTTGTGATCCCTCCCTCTGAGGCATCTGGCATTGGCTACTGTCGACAGACAGGATACTGGGCTAGATGCAGCTTTGGTCTGACCCAGTATGGCCGTTCTTATGTTCTTCTTGCTTTTGCTTTCAGATTTGGGGTTTAATAATAACCTGATATGTCTTGAATAGTGGCTTAAAATTCCTGATTTATACAAGCCCTCTACTACGGTGCTGTTTTCATTCATTTAGAATTTTTATATTAATTATGCTATTTACTCCCTTCTATGAGTAATGCATGAGGTCTGGTGGAAAGATGTAATAAAATCTCGCCACAAAATTATTAGATTGACCAAAGACAAAGTATTTCTTTGAAAATTTCTAATATATTCGTGTTTTTAATATTCCAGGGATTTCCTACCCATGATGCAGAAGGCAAAGAACTCAGCAAAGGACAAGTGAAGAAACTGAAGAAACTTTATGAAGCACAGGAAAAACTTTACAAAGAGTATCTACAAATGGTTCAGAATGGAACTGCTAATTGAGAGCAAAACCAGGACAGTCATCTTTAAAATAAAGACGAGAGCTGGAGCAGTAAAGAGCATATATTGATGCTCGTATTGTGTTTACATGTTCTACTGTGGACAAGCTAAAAATACTCGTTTATGTGGGTTAATATATCAGCTAGTTTAGAATGTCAATAAAATGTTATTATTAAAAATAAAAAGACCATGTAGGACATTTGTATCACAATCATAGAGGGTGTGTCTAGACTACCTAGTTTTGTCGACAAAAGTGGGCTTTTGTCGACAAAACTATACCAGCATCTACACTACTGCTGAGTTCTGTCGACATAACGTCGACAGAACTCAGCAGTTTTGTCGACGCTGGTATACCTCATTTTACGAGGCATAACACCTTCTGTCGACAGAACTCTGTCGACAGAAGGTGTTATTGCCTGTAACATTGCGTCCAGACTACGGAGTTCTGTTGACAAAGCAGCTTGCTTTGTCGACAGAACTCAATGTGTCTGGATGCTCTTTGTCGACGGAAGTTTTGTCGACAGTATCGGTCGACAAAACTTCCGTCGACAAAACGCGGTAGTCTAGACGTACCCAGACTGAACATCTCTCTTTGGGAAGACACTGTTCAGTCAGCAAATCCATGTGTTTCTTGCTCATTTTAACCTCTTTAGGCCCCTGGGTAATTTCTCACGCATGCCAGTCTTTATCCTGTGTAGCTGTGCTTCGGAATAATTAATGTCACAACAAGTAGAACTTACTGATGCCTACAACGAAGCTGATCAATTTGTTCCATAGTAAGAACCATAAGTATTTCTCAGATGATTTCAACAACATTACATAGAGGGGAAGTACCATAAGTAATTCAAATAGGATGCTTCTCTTGCTGTTATTCAAAACCCCAAATATACAAAAATAAGCTAAAAGTTATTTTCATAGAACTGACTGTCACCATCCTCACTTGGTCAAACAGTGCAGTAAGACCAAACAGGAAGGAGCCTATCTCAGCTTGTGACTTCAGTCATGGAGCTAAGTACAGGGACTAATCATCTATTCTAAGCTGTGGGTAGAAAAAGAATGGACAGGAACAGAGATTGGGACAAGGCCCTCCCTTTCACCTCAGAGAAACAAAAGTGCACCAAATAAAAGGATAAAGCAACTTCAACAACCTCTGAGCAAAGGTGGATGCAAGGAAGAAATTGTGAAAGTTACATTTTTCTTTGAGTGCTTATTCATGTGCATTCCAATCAGGTGTGTATGCACATGTGTGCACAGATGCTGGAAGACTGTACCTAGCAGCAATCGTTGGGTCAGCCTAGGGTGCCCCCTGGAGTGGTGCTGATATGGTGCTCAATAAATAGCCTAGCTGACTGAGCCATCAACCTTTCAGTTCCTTCTTACTGTTCAGTAACAGTACTGGAACTTTTCACTCTTGCTTTAGCAAGCACTCCTACGAGTTTTCATCCACAGATACTTAAAGACAGAGAGCAGAGGCTCAGACTCCTCATGGAAGTCGCCTTCAACCCCAGTCTGATCTGGGGCCAGCCAGCACTGTGTACTTGGTGCAGAGCACTCTGGTGCCATCAATGTGGGATCCAGTGCCACGCAGGGACCAGCATCATCATGATACCGATTGTAGGGGTGGTAGATGTAAGTCTATATCCCCAGTTCCACAGAAAAAAACGAAAAAAGGGGAGAAGCCAATCCTCCAGCTCCCAGAGGAAACAATCAACCTCCTCCCAGCATCAATCACAGGCACAGTCTGATAATCCTGGGCTCAGGGACATGTCAATTCCTGTCAGCCGTCACAGCCCAGACTGCCATGACCGGAACATACAGCTCCATTCCACCCTGGAAACCTTTAAGGTGGCTCAGGAACTCATTCAAATGATGGCACCAGACCCAGTAAAAAGGGACCTGGCACTGCTATCATCTTGACAACCAGTGCTATCACATAAGCTGTTTCCATTACCAGAGGGGACATCGCCGCTGCACAGAACACATGAGACCATGTCTTACAGGTCTCCAGAGTACCACTGCCCCGTCCAGCACAGCGCCACCTTGGTCATTGGCCTCAGAGACTATCCAACAGAAACTTCTACTGCTCCCACAGCTCCAGCAGCACGAGGTCACAGTCTCGGTGTCACTCGTCAGGGCAGTAGCAGCCAACCTAGAATCCCTAATGGCCCTTCTGGACACTGTGGGCCTATCATCGGGACAAGGGCACTATGCAAGGTGCCAGGTCATGATCGACCTCGGTAGCCTTGGCACCAGAGTTCATGCAAGCCTTCCAGGCCCCCATGGTTTTCTCTCAGACTGTGGTAGCAGGCTCCTCGACAGTCCAATATGTGTCGGTACCACTTTTGGTAGCCATATTTATTTTTGATGGCAGTGGGGTGTGCACATTCTTTGCACAAAACAAAATGTGAAGTTTAGCACTCTGTTTAACAGCTGTCTTTATGGAATGTGGTTTAAAAGGTTTTCTTCTGTCTTCCAATTATTACATTTTTATTCCAGAGAGATGTATGTAATATTTCTGAACACTTTATGTTTAAAAAAAAGCAAACCTATAGAAAGGTGAGGATAAAAAGTAAGTATTTAATAGTATTCATTTGTATTAGCACATTTTTTAGTTTATTACCCATCCATCTCTCCTAGTTTCCCTAATTCTGTTCTTCTGGTTCTCATTCTATTTTTCTGAGGATTCCTTCAGCATTTTGATCAGTGGCTCCCTCTGTCCTCTTCCCTTTGTTTTGAGTGGCCTTAGCCTCCCTTGTTATTAACTCCTTTGGTTGTTTCTCACAGTACTCCAGATGCTCTCCTCTCAGATATCCTTGCTTCATCTCATCTATCTCCAAAATGCTGCTCATGGTGATCACATTGCTCTCCCAGCACTGTGAAAATAGAATTCGTATTCCTAAATTACCTTAGTTAGAACCGGATCCAAAGTCCATGGAAGTCAGTGAGTGTCTTTCATAGTTTTCCATGGAAATCTGTTCCTTAACTGGCTTCTGGTTCAGAACTTCATCCTATTCAATCTCCCTGTGTAATCTCTCTCTCCCCCACATCTCTACTCATTTTTCCTTACTCTCCTGCTATGCATCCCAGTCCTCTCAGTCCATCACCTTTTATTCTGTTACATTGTTCTTTGTTTCTTGTGCTTGGAACAATCTCATTTTCTCACCTTCCCATGCTTTCCTTCAAAACCATTTCTTTTAAAACTGCCTCCTGCTTTGTTCACTGCATCAATAAGCCTCAGCCTCACAGCCTCCTGAACTCTGTTTTCCCATGGTCATTCTTGTCTTGGTCATGTCTGTTTTAGGCACAGAACAACCTTTTACACTTTGGAACAGGGCATGTTTTTGACTCTGTAATGCATGAATAAGTTGATGCTCCTGTAGTTTTTATTAAAAATTATAGTTCATGAAACATGCACACAGCTGGCAGCTACTCTTTGCAACATAGCAGTTAAAAGTTTTAGCTTTGATTCATAAGTATTTTAATTTCTAAATAGGAAATACTTTTTCATATTGTGAAGTAGAGGATTTCTTTGCCAAATAAGGATGACATCATTGGACCCTCTTAGTGTGTGTGCGTAAGTGCATCTGTCTTTGTGTCTGTCTGAAAGCCTGGTTGTTTAAAAACTCCTCCCAAACAGTGAGATCTAGGGCCACCAAATTTGGTATACACCTGCTTTTTCTCCTAACTTAAAGCAAGCTCAGGGTTTGATTTTTGCCAGGACAACTGGAAACCCTGGGAAAAAAACTGTTTTCCATAACATGCAAAGGGAGGGACTGTTCAGAGGGATGCAATATGAGAGTGGCCACTGCAAGCAGTGAGCCTGCAGGAGACAGCTATTCTGCAGACTGTCCACTGGGGGCAATTGTGCCACCAATGGAGTGGCCAGCAGGGCTGGAGCTCTGCCATCTTGCCTGCCAGCATTACCAATAAGTAGCCTCCCTATCTCAAACCCTCCCCCCTCCCCCTGGCCACAGCACTGAGGGGAGAGGTTAAAAAGAAGAAAAAAAACCTGGCAGCCTGGGGAAGCATCACCTTTTATTCTGTTACATTGTTCTTTGTTTCTTGTGCTTGGAACAATCTCATTTTCTCACCTTCCCAGGCTTTCCTTCAAAGTACCCCGTACTCTGAGCCCCTCTTCTCTCCCTAACCCTCACTCTTGCACCCCCCCAACCCTAGCCCTCTGCACTCTCCCCCCCAAACCTCTGCCCTAAATCCTGCACCCCTCACACCATCAGCCGTGTGCCTGAAGGACCCCGGCAATACCAGCTAAGTCTGCTAGTGGAAACGTGTCAAATCACCTTGGTTAGCAAAAACTCATGGAGATAGGTTGCTAGTTTATGCTGTTAGCCCTCTTTGTGTCATGAATTTTGCAATAAATCAAAACTACAAAATAATTCAAAAATCAAGAAGCAACTACGATAAAAAATGGTAACCGTGACATGAACAGCAAGAAAGTGGCAAAAGAGAAGTTTGTTAGCAAACATCAAATGCTTAAAGTAAGATTACAAATATACTGTTTAACCAGGCTTCTCAAAATAAGGTGAACAGAAATGCATAACACAGAATTTATTCCCAGGTAATCAATGGAGGTATCACTTAAGTGGATTCTACTGCAGTTGTTAGTGAAAATGACTCAGAACCAGAAGAGAGAAATCTGGCAGTTGGCTTTGAGATGTTTTTGGTCACCTTTCTCACTCAAAAGGACTAAGCAAATTCTATAGTAACTATTTAAAATGTTATTTATCTAACTGTTTTAAAAATACTGGCACAATAGACGAGTAACACTGTGTTCTCAAAGGTTTAAGAAGAAAATAATAGGCTAGATGCCACTATTTGTGATAATATTTTTAACACTTTATATTGACAGAACTCTTGTTGGTTATCTGAAATAAAACTTTATTCCTGTTCTCTTGCTGTCTGTTCTTCCTAGTAATACTCAGTTTAGAATTATTCTTTTTGTACTTGAATTCTTTTTGTGGTTGAGGCATTTTCACTAACACTGTTAAACACTGCAAATTCTGAACAGATGACTGAGTCTTTAAAGACTCATTGTTTACTTTCAGTCCCGTGTTCCATCTTATATGACATTAACCTAACAGAGCTGGCTCATTAAAGCATATTAACCATTTATTAGCGTGACTCTTGACTTAGTGATAATCAAAGCACACACAAAAATATAAGTAAA